AACATAACAGCAAATGTACAAGCTTTTGTCATCATCAGGTAGAAGTAATTTACACACACACACAGTATTGAACAAAGAGGTCACATGACTGGATACTGTTGCAAAACTTAGAGGTATCTAGGCACCCCGGGGTGTTGGTTTAGAGTAGGGTTGTTTTGTTCAATTAAGATGTATTCCTTGATTTTCCGTTTGTTTATGTTGGGTTCTTTGTTTAAAATGACTGTTTTAATAGATATATATATAAATGATAGTTTCAGGTTTAACGTAGCTTAAAAATAGTTTTGTTTGCTGTAACCCTAAACTGATTTAAAATTTGGGTAGGTAGGTAATTTTTTTTTGTTGTTCAAGTTGCTTGAAATACCATTAATTCCGTGACCACCTAAAATATAACGCGTCAAATCATGAATACAATTACTATCAATATTTATTCTATGAAAAGAATTACAGAAATTTCAAATTCTCGCGCAACACACACTAGCTGGTCAATATCGAAGTTGAATTGACTGTTGCCCACAATTTTACGGTTTGTTCTTCCATTTCATCTCGTTCGCCAAATAAATCTACAACTACTGTTCCCCACGTGGATGATTTTCCAATCGGAATTAATTTGTTTTTGATCCTAATCCTCAATCAACGAGAAAAATTTTCGGAGACGCATACACTGAACAGATTCGTGTTCGCCATGTTGTTAATGTATGCTCGTCAATAATAAATTCTCCCCTGCTAGATCGTGTATTCATTAGTGTAGCGTTAAGGGTCACGAGGACGAGAAATGCCAGGTTGTCAAACCTTAATACATTGATCAATCAGCATTGAGCTGTCGATTGGTAATCAGGTGATGCCCTCCCACATCGTCGCGAGCTACATGAATTTCCGAGAAAAACTATTTGTCAGGTTTTTATTTATTGATGGGCAGGATTTTTTACAGTAGGTGTCAGTGACTTGTTGGCGATAAATTTCAACAATAAACAAACAGCACACTAGTTTTAAAATAATATATTAAAACAAGTCAAACGTATATACAAATGTACGTTATACAGCTGTATCCAGAGCTTTAAATAATCGTCTCTTTTCTTCAAAGTCCACACAGATTGGTTCAGTTACTTTAGAACACAATTGTCAAAACGAATTAATCTCTTCTTTCCTGTTGTTACAATGTTTCTGCTTTATCGGGATTTAGGTCTCTGTTTGGACCTGGGAGGGTCAGGTGTAATCTAGACCTCTTCGTCTTCCCTGTTGTTACAATACGATCTGCCATAATTTCACTTTTAAAAAAACGCCACTATAACGCTCTCTACGGCCAAACTTACAAACACACAGTCTATATCTATGTATCTCTCACTAACATTGTCTTTCTTTTACTGCATTTTGGACGCGTTTTTATAAATAGCCCAACTTTGGCTTAGAGTTTACGATACACAACAGTATATGATGTATTAATACTCGAAAAAACTTAGAAGGTTCTAGTAACATGACGCAATAATACAAAAATCGCTAATTTACACGACGTATGATTCAAACAGTTACGTAAACAAACCTGCGATAAATTATCGCTTCTAAAAATAACTAAATTTAACACTCGCTTTAATTAAATTTAAACAGCCGCGTATATCTAACTATATTCTAACCATAATACGGCGATAAAAATGTTAAAGTCGAGAAAATTTGATTGGTCAGTATATCAGCAGAAATTGGTGGAAATAAAAATTTCCTGGGTCATAATGTAAAAAAAAAAAGAAAACCTCTCGGACCGTCGTTTGGGTTACAGCGAATAGAAATATTTTAAACCCTGACCTTACCAAAATTTCCTCACCAATTTCAAGAGCATTATGTCATTACGAATATTTTGAGAATTAGAGTGCTTCTTGGAAAAGGGATTAAATTATTGTTTCATCTTTTTTAAAAATGCAAATCAATGTCATAATGGATATGCATGTCAGAATGAAATCTCAAAACGATCTCGTTTAGTAAAAATACAAACTTTATATGAGTCTTTAATTATCAAACTGGTAATTTTTTTCCTTAATTCTTGTATCTTACATTTATCTTTTACTAGATATATTTTCAGCTTATTTTTGTTAATAAAAATTTATTATCCTCCAATTGCAGTCTTTATATATATATATATATACTGAGAAATAAGTTTTTTAGTATTTTTCCTATTGAAAGTATTTTGAATATTTCTTATCTAATTAAAACAAAGAATTGATATATGAATAATAAACACCTATTTAGGAATATAAGTTTATGTGGATACTTTTTGGGTGTAAATATTCATTTTTAGTTTTACTACATATAGCTGGCCAAAGACGAAGATAATGAGTTGTCAGAGGAAAAACAAAGTGAAGTGGAAGACATCAATTATTCACAGTTAGCTGATGCTGAACCAGAACCTATAGGTTTGAATATACCAAAACCAGACACAGAACAGAAAAAAGTAGAGGTGTGTAAGTTAATTTGTCTGTCCACATGTAATTCTACTTTACTTATTGACTATAAGACTTGTATTGTGGAACCCTAAACTTGTACCTCAGATGAAATGTACTGCCTCATGTTATTTGTTTTGTATTGAACAATTGTTTAATAGTGTAATTGCTGACTTTAAACAGATGTACAAATAATTCCTTGCACAGTTGAAAGTACCGGACTTGTTTATGTATTAGATGATTTATTTTCCTGTCTGAAAGGAGAAGCAGATATTTATTGAACTAAAAATAAAAACTTAATGAAGGATTTTATAACCATTTGCTACTTGGTACATGTGAAAATAATAAGTTACTTTAATTTTTCATGTTAAAACATGTTTTTTGTCAAACAAAAGCTCTCTGTGATACATATTATGTAACCTGGTACACATGTTCAGGAGATATGGTGTGTAAAACTTCATGTGGGTGAAATATATGTGGCATTATATCAGATTCTAGTACAAGTAATAAAAAATACAAAACAAATTTGGTTGTATATGTTTGATAAATCTTGGTTTTTATTTTAATACTGTTTGAAGATAACCAATAATATTGTATTGTGTGTCTTATTCGTTAAACAAACACGAGTAACTTAAACGTTTATGTATTATCTGAATTTGTCAAGATATTGCTCTCAATGCTAATTAACAGGTATATTGGTTTTATTTGAGCTAGATAACTTTGTTACTTTCTTATTAAACTTATGTGATAATGTTTGAATGATTGCACTAAAGATCTTTTGATTATTTTATTCACATCTAAGTTTTTTAATGTGCATTATTATTGTGTTGTTGTTGAATGGTGAAATCCATTAAAATATTGTAAATAAACAGGCTAATATTTGTGATTTAAAAAACTCAAAATAGTTGTTTTTCACATTCTTCTCAATTTGTCTATCATAGGTTTTTAATTCAAGGGTGTATTAGCAAAAAATCATATGTTTCTTTTGTCTCTCACAAGCCACTTCACAAAAGGCTTTTTGTTCAGCACCAGAATGTTTGGCTTGAGCTGTGTTAATAAAAGGTCTACCTGAAATTCTACTTATATTTGCCTTGTAAACACTTAAATGTATTGTGTTAAAAGTCAAAACCTAGAAGAGCATTAGAAATCAACTGGCTTTGATAAAAGAATTGCACTTTACCACAGATATTTTTGTCACATTTCCCTTAATTTAACCCAGTTTCCTGCAAAAGACAAAAGAAATATTGTTTTGATACACCTCTGATTTAAAATCCATAGTGAATAGTTAAGAAGCATGTGAAAAAAATATCTTCGCACAAGCATGATTCTTAATCATATCTATTAACATTAACTATTATTCTTAAATTAATGTACATTATTCATAGTATTTTAAACAGAATATTAATTGTTATTTTTAATGCCTGATGCATGAGTTAACTAGACCAAAATTGCAGGTTTTAGGGGGGAAAAAATAGTCCTTATCCATTCCGTGATATGTTTATCCAAAAAATAAATGAAGTCTGGAAAAGGGAATGATCAGAAAACTTCAAATCAACAGTTTTCTGTGATACAACATCTCATGTTCATAATACCAGGTGGTAAGTAAGTGGAATCCAGAAGGGGTGGACATCCCTCCTGTGACAATCACTCGTAGTATATATATATATAAGAATAGAGTGGAGAACAAAAAGAAGATTGGGCAAGTTCCCAAATGTTTTCCAATCATCATGTTTTATTTTCCTTATCACCCAAATTGGGCACCAATCACACAACTGTCCCTAACTAAATCAAATATTACTCCATGATACTGTAGTAGAAAAAAGCTGTTTCTTTAGTACCTCACAGACTAAGAGATAGAAACAACAAGTGCTAATGCATTGTGTCGTGATTCTCATTATCTGTGTGAGTAATATGGCATCGAATGAGTCTTCTTCCAGTTCTTTTTCTTCATTTTTCACATTGTTCTTGTGCCAGATGAGCAGATATAAACAACCAAAGAGGATGAAATGAGACAAGTGGGAGAGGCGCACAGTAAGAATAGCAGGAGTATGATGATTGGCGAGATCTTCACTATGCTGCCCTTCCCTAGGCCTGTCAGCCCCTGTCTCAGCAAAAGTGCCTGGTTTGTACAGTGCTTTGCTAGCATTACAACATAATTTTGTGGTTTTTGATGCCATGGAATTCGTCTGTTGCATGCCTTCTCTATTTCGCTTTAGTTTCACTGTGACAGGATTCCTGTCATGATCACAATCACATCTACTGCACCTCACACAAGTACTGGATTTTGCAGCATCGTGTGAGCTTGTTCGTAACTTCCTCAGCCATCACTGTAAATGGAGGAGTGATGGCTGATGAGGACTGTGGTAGTTGAGTGGAAACAGCATGCCACTTTATGCAATTCCTAAGAAGTATAGAATTAGAAGGACCTTTACTATCTTGGAAGGTGTGTAAAAGGGAGATGTTTTGATGGGATGAAGGCCACGAATAATCAATCGTAAAACAGTGTAGACTGCAAATACTGAGAGGTGGGTCTGACTGTTCGATTTCAAAGATCAAGATAGATCATTTGGTGTATTCAAAATAAAGATAGCTTTAATTTCAGAAAGGGTTTTTCTGGAACTGTTCCCCCCCCCCTCTCAAACATACCTGATTGATTTGTGCATCAAATGTTAAGTGTTTGAATTGGCTAATAGCTGCATTTTTAAAATTTTTGGTAAAATTTAATTCATTATAATTTCACTTTAAGCTGTATAAAGATGTGTGTTCTAACAAAAAAGTAATAATGAATAATTTGGATAGTAGAAAAAAAAGAAATAGCTTAATCCATGTTTTAGCTACTTAAAAATGTCATATAAAGAATGTTAATTTTCTATGATGGGAAGGGTAGAAAAATGTTTCTATAATTTTTATTAAAAGACGAATTAGTATTGATTAAATATTCTCTGCTTAAGATGCTTTATAAGTACATTGTTATTTTATATTTCAGAATGGAACCTCTCCAGAGTCTACACCCAAGAGTCAACTAAAGAGTCATGATTATGGATCCAGTCATGAAAGTGTTAGCTCTGCATCAGATTCCTCGTATTCCACTAAAACTGGTCATAATGAAAACGAAAGTCCCGTATCTAAAGCCAAAATACAATTGGAAGGTCTGAACCTGAATATGAGTGCCTCTGAGATGAGACAGTTACTGAGTGCTCGAAGAAAACGTGACCCAAGAAAGGAACATATGGACATGCGTGAGAAATACCATATTATCCAGCAGATGTAACTGACCAAGAGCTTAATCATTTGACTTGCACAGTAACTGTTGATTGTTTTGTCAATCATCGAAATAACTGAGATTTTGAAGTAAGGGGTTAGTTAATCCCTTTCTTGACTGTTTATTATTTAACAAAGGAAATTAGAGGTAAAACAAATTATAATTGCAAGTAGTATTAATAAAATGGGTTTTGTCTTGTTGTTGTGTGATTTTAAACAAGCTGGCTTGCTTGTATTTTTAGATACTATAAAAAAGCAGACCTATGAAATGTTTCATTCACCAGTATTAACCTTTGATGTATTACAAAATAGCTAATAATATTTTATTTTGTGTAGCAGCATAGCTTTTTTCTCTCCATAGTCTTTATACCTGATTTCAACATTCCATTGTTCTGACTGGTGTAAGAATGTCGGACCCAAATTGAGTTGTTCTTCCAAGTATTTCATTAATATAAAGAACTTGTGATCAAAAGAAACATTGTTATATTTCTCAGTGCAGGTGTGATTTCTGCATTAATAGTTAATATTATTATGATATATATTATTTACACAAAGAAATATTTCATAGAGATATGAAACAACTGTGTGTCTAGCATAGTAGTGTATTTAGTTTATATGGACTTGTATGCTTCTGGAATGTGTAGTATGTATATAACTGCAATTTATCTACAAGAACTGACTCACACATTGACCCTAAAAAAAAAACTACTTTCAGAAAGAACTTTGGTAACTAGTTATTTTTCAGTATGTCTTGTTTCATATAATCCTATGTGTTAAACACTGCAATGGTGACAGTATCATGAAATAAATCTTGAAAATCAGCTGCTTTTTTACTTGAAAATTTACATATTCTTATATCTCTCATAGTGTATATCCTTCTGTAAACTGGTGCATACTTTATTTTATACACAGTGCCAATCTTAGGCAAGATACAAAGTGCATGCATGGGCCCCCATAGTGACAATTAAAAAAAAATACGCAGCTCCACTTTTAAGAACCACTCGTACAACAATATCTGTGCATATTCCCCCCATATGACCCTTAAGGTCATCTCTGCTCATATATGATAGTTTAAATGTACTTTTATAAATAATGTAGTTTTAATTTTAACTGCAATATGCAAACCATGTGACTGAAAACAACTACCTGAAATAGTATTTGTAATATTAAAAATGTTGATGAACCAAACTTTTACAATGCACCTGGTTATTGAAATGAGTGATTTTGGAGAGAGAGAAAAAGATAGATTTATGTGTCTTGAAGGTTTCACATTTATGTATATTTTAAAGAGGAATGTATACTGATGTCTAACCATTAGTTTTGTACATGTTAAAATATACTTGCTAGAAACCCCCAAGTATTATTGTTATCTAATGTGTATGTCCAGGAAGTATGTTTACTGCTGTAAACTATTCATATTAGAAGTTTACAAGAAAAATTATTATTTTAAATGTCTTTAAGCTCTTACATATTTCATATGTAAAGTAGTTTTGAATATATATATAATGGTTTATATTCACAATGCACGTATATCCAGGTACATGAAAATTAAAAGCTTTTAGAGAATCAATTAGAAACATGGCACATGAAGAAAAACCTTCAATGAACGAAACAAGAAATAACACTAAAGAAAGTAATAATACAATTAAACTTCTAAAGAAAAGTGGCCAGCTAAGACATTCCCTATAACTAGCTTTAGTTTCATGTGGCAGAACTGTTATGTGGTTTTATTCCTTTACAGCTTTGCGTGTCTGTCCTAATGTATTTAGTACGAGATGACAACAGTAGCCATAGTTTCTTGTATCACAGACATTCTACATTGTTTTTATAGATGAATCTGTAGCATCTCTATCTCGTTCTAAGTAGTTTTTAGACAGTTGCACATAAACAGAATGATGTACTTCCTGTATAGCACTTAATAGAGGATACAAAAATGGTGAACTAATTGCAATACTAAATAATGCTGAGAAATTAGGAATTAACCATTAATTGTAGCTAAGTATATAACAAAATTGTATGAAAAAAGTTAAGGTGAAAATTTATTTTCAAAAAATTTGAATATGGCAGTTGGTTCAAGTGCTCTGAATTCTTGAAAGAAGTGCCATAATTGGAAAAATATTGGACTTTTAAGTATCTCTCTTATATTGAAATGTTGTTTAAAAGAAGGTTTAGGTGTAGGACTGTAATTTATGCGAATTATTTTAATAATTTGACGAAGATCTGTTCTAGCCCTGAAACAGATGGATGATGAAGTCAATTTAAACCTTATGTTTGAACGTTTTTGTTATGGTTTTGGCATTTTTACTTCTAGTACTGATCTAGAAGTTCAAAATTAAACTATAGTTTTGAATTGTAAACATGACTGTAACTAAAACATGGGTAATAAGTCAAAAGTTGGTCAATGAAAATAGAATACTAAAACTTTTTAATGCTCAACAACATTTTTATAACCATGAATATCAATAAGGAACTGTGGTTTTAATTAGTCAAAATATCTTATTTTTTATTAACATATCTACACAATTTTATGTTAACAAGTTTTGATTCTAACTGAATTTTGTATCCATATATTTTCCAGTACATGTGCCTTAATCCATAAACGAGTGATGTAAAACTGTTATTGGGTTATTATAGTTCCAGTGTCTTTTGTTTGTTTGTAAAATAATGTATTTTCATAATAAACTTGTATGATATACTGTGGTGTCTGTATTTCTGGGTTAATGGACTTTGAAATAAATCAGTGTAGGTATTGTAAAACATTGAGATGATCAGATATCAATAATTGTTGAGGTAGTAAGGTAATCTTAGTGTCAAATAGACAGGACTGTGTGAGATTGAAATAGTTTATATAGTGCAAGTGTTAAATTTAGTTATTTTTAGAAGCAACAGTTTATTGGAAGCTTGTTTATGAATCACATATTGTGTAGTTCAGTACTTATGAATTAGTGATTGTTATATTATTGCACTATGTTACTAGAACCTTCTGAGTTTTTCTCGTTTTTGCATCATAATATCTATTAGTATGTGGAATGTTAGGGTGTTTTAAAACAAGATAAGAATGTATTGAACTCCAGTATATCCTTACTGAAACGTGTGCTGTCCTGGGAGTCCTATTTGCTGTTAAGCACGAAGTTACAGGATGGGTTATCTACGCTGTGCCCATTGCGGGTATCAAAACATTTAAGTCCAGAGACTTACTATTGAGCCACTAAGGGAGGATCTGGGACTTGCCATGTAGTATTAGATATAAGAGAATGGTCAATTTTATATCATTCGAGGGAATTTTGAAGATGTTGTTAACGTACATATGTACAGTAGTATGTTAGGTAGCTCAAAACAGTCATCTGGAAAGTACGCATTGTTGGTTTCAGAAATTTGCGCAAACCTATATACACACACAATGACTATCTGCACATAGCCATCCTCATTTTTCACTGATTAACCACAAGGAATTAAGGCAGCTGGTAAACAGTATCCATTACCAGTTTCTGATTAAATAGTGAGATTTGATCGTCACTATTATAACGCACCCGAATCACAAATATTTAGATTATCAGTCTTTTCACAAAATATTCATACAATTCATTTTTGATAAACAATCAGAGAGTATTATTATATTAGGAACATAGTTAACTATCCACAATTACCTTAGCTTTCATATTTTATCTCGTTGCTTAGCCACTTCATATTTTGGATAAGGTAATTGTTACCGTTGACCAAAGTTTGCGACCATATATCTGTTTCTTTAGTATATAATTCATGTTAGCTAAATTCGAATTTAACAAAAGCCAGAGTTAGAAGTTATTACTATCCCTGTGTGTTTAAAATATTTTAATTAAATTTAATTCAGCAGTAGTTAGTTGGGAATTGACCTACTTTCCAGCTGGTGTCAAGGTGGTTCCCGAAATAATTTCAGGAAGTGAATGGAATAAACCAGCATGCTGGTTACTCAACAGTTATACAGTAACTTAACTGAAGAGGTGTGCACAAAGGGGACTAACAGTAACACAACACATACGGACTCAGTCATTTCGGTGACTGTAATACTGTATATTTCTACACGTGAGGTGTATGTGTGTTTAATTCTCCCCACCACACACACGTAAACCAATAGCGGTCAAATTAAAAATTTTAAACACGTCCCTGGCTGAGTGTTTTAGAGAAAATAAATGAGAACCAAATATTGTTTATCTGAATATATCTTGTTATTATTGCATGGTTGAAGTAGGTGGATGTGAAAATGTATGGATGATTACAGAAAAACATTTTTGAGTTTTTTTGTGTGTGTTTAGTTAGGCTCGGGATATTAGGTGAGGCATGATGTGAGTACTGCCATCTACTGGCGACTAACTATTAATCAATTGCTTTCTCAATAAAATATAAATAGGACCAAGTACATAATAATGAAATCGAGTCATGCACACACGTTCCTTGAGTCAAGAAGTACTAGTAGCTTAACTACAAACAAACAAACTTGTCACTTATCAATACATGTCTAAGCTTCGGCTTTTCTTTAATACTTCCGAATTCATTGATTATTTCAATCTATCTGTTTTGCTGTGTTGAAAAGAAACTTGACTGTATAATTTTAGGAATGTTTGAGTTTAGTAATCATATCGTACTGAGGGTTGAGTACGTTATATTAAAATGATTTTTAATACTCTGATTAGAAAGTCTTGTGATAGCCATAGCCGGTATAAAGTCGCGGTGGGGTGGCATTTATCAGAACTACATTTTAACGTTGTTTGGTATTCGTAAATTGTGTGATTCTACCGAAAGTTGGTCGCTTTTGGGATTTAGAATTTCCAAGACAGGGATACGTACTTGATGGAATTGAAAAAAAAAGAATATAATATGAATCAACTTGGAAACCAGGACCATCCAGAAAGAGACCTGCAACAGGTCATATCCCAGCTGTGAAAAACAAAGCATGATGTCTTGTAACAGGTGAAAATCTACGAACATGGTGATTAGTGGCAAAACGTTGGCTATTAGTCCCGGGCAAAAGTACCCAACATAATCAAGAAATATCCCTGTCAGGAAAAGCCTACATAATTCAATTCCACAACAGGCCCGGCATGGCCAGGTGGTTAGGGCGATCGACTCGCAATTTGAGGGTCGCGGGTTTGAATCCCCGCCACACCAAACATGCTCGCCCTTTCAGCCGTGGGGCGTTATAGCGTGACGGTCAATCCCATCATTCGTTGGTAAAAGAGTAGCCCAAAAGTTGGTGGGTGGTGATGACTAGCTGCCTTCCCTCTAGTCTTACACTGCTAAATTAGGGATGGCTAGCGCAGATAGCCCTCGTGTAACTTTGCACGAAATTCAAATCAAGATCAAGAGGAAATTGTAGTGAATATTGGTGACCAAAGAATGTATTTATTTTTATACACAGAAATATTAATCATAAGTTGACATAACGTAAGTTTACCAACATTAAATTGTGTAATGAATAGTTAGTTGAATAGGTTATTACTTATCTAAAGCTATGATATTGATTTGCTTAACTGACCTGGGAATCTTGCTACAAAATTGGTAATGATGTGGTCCACAAAAGGCAGTGCAACATTAAGGCGGTAGTGATCTTTGATGAATAAGCTCGGCCAGTTGACTCTGTGTCGTTACTGTCCATATGAGAACCTCGGATGACTAAACTCAACATTAACACTCTCTGCCATACGAACTGTGTGATCATACACTACGTGGAACACTTCGTCAGTTTTCATGTGTTCCAGTGTATGTATTGCTTTTACTTCATGAACCTGAAAAACATAAACCTTTCAGCATGAAAAATGATCTTTCAACGAATTAAACAACACATTAATATAATTATCCATATATTTACTCAGACCCTATTTATGTCATCATTAAAATATTATTTACTACTATAAATAATTCCATCACACGGATATAATAATATACACCTACAAACAGATACAAATACGACATATTTTTCACACGTACATATACATAAA